CTGCCTGTTTTGATAAGCCAGTCACATAGATTTGTTTTTCAATATATTGATTTAACAACACCAAAATCGTGTTGATAGCCTCTAGGATTACACACGAATGCATTTATGTTAGGCTTGCATTTTGAATTCACACACACCAGAAAATTAAAGGCTCCATTCCCACCTTTCTAAAGTTGCCCTTTATGTGTAAGTTTGTTTGAGGTTCATCATCATCTTCAATTCTTTTTACGTCTAGTGGCCCATAAGGCTTCAGAGAGGAGTTTCCAAGTGTTCCTGTCCTGTGCAATCTCCAGTTCAGTTTTCAATATCAGAAAAGCTGCACTAGGTCACTATCCATCGTTCGTCTCCATGTTGTTTTTAGTCGCCCTCTTTTATTTTTATTTTTCCCTTTAGTAACCATATGAAAGCTATTTTGGCAGGCATATCAGTATTCGTCTTCATAACGAAGCCAAGCCACGTCCATCTTCTCTTAGTTATCATACTGTCTGGAGTTTCTTGGTTTGTGATTTGAAATAGTTTAGTGTTTGAGATTATATCTGGCCAGAAAATTTTGATAATTCTACGTTGTCATATGTGGGGAAGGTGGTTGTGTGACCACACACACACACAAAAGGACAAGAGCGGAAACTAACGACGTGTAAAATTAAATGTTTGAGAAATGCAGCCAACATAGCAAAATCAAACACACACACAAACACACACAGACACACACACAACACACACACACACACACACACAGAGAAAGACCATCAAAAAGAAGAAAATATCATTAGGATGGTTTGAATAAGATCTCTAATTAGATTTATTGAGAAACAAAGAATAAAGTGGTGTAACCACCTGATCAGAATGAACTCAGCATCACCGGTTGCAAGATCATACAGCATGAGAATGGTAACATCAAAAAGCAAAAGAAAGCCAAGAAGAAGATGAATAGAAGGAATTATTACCTTGCTGAAACTCAGCAATATCATCGTGCAGCAAGCTAACGAGAAACCGGCCATTAGCCGTGGCTGTGACGCATAACAAACAGCATTAAGTACAGAAATGAAATAGATAAGTGTCCACTCCAGCGAAGTATTTTTGGGAGATAAAATACAACTATTTCGGAAGTGTAATGATTACTGCATAGCATCCAAAAACTTAGACGTCACAAAAATTATTTTTTCCATAAATATCAATTATCTACGAGAGGAAATACGATCTTAATGACAGTCTAGAAAAAAAGTATACAATGACTACAACATCTGCTAGCATCAAACTCCGTCTTGTAACACCAAAATCAAAATACATCACGCTCGTCGTCTTTATTTCTCAGGAAGTTTCGTGGTACCCATTTTAAATTGGGTCAGCTTGGCTATGAACACAACACTTGTTCAAATGAAAGTTTAGCCACTTGGCTAAAACTGCATTTGTATGCATAAAGTAAACGGACATCCCCCCCCCCCTCACCTTTTTTCATGATATTGGGGCGTAGATCTGAAACTATATACCTAACACGTCTTCACTGTACATGGTTCTTTTAAAGATCATCTTCATCGCACATTAGACATGGCCATAGGTGCTTCGATCACCTTCTGAGTATGCCATCAAGTGTTTTTAGTCTAACTTCCATTGTTCTGTTCTGGCTAATGTAACTACGGTCTCTATCGGATGGTTTTCCTGTCTCACTGCTTTAATTAGTACACACACACACAATTGAGTATGCAGTCTATTTAGTGGGGGGGGGGGGGGGCGGCCATCATTTTCTATGAAACTGAAAGGGTCACAGCGTTCAGTCTCTCGTATGGCATTAATGATGGGTCTCCTGTCCATTCCTGATAGTGGCGCTGCCAGCCAGGGCGTCTGCTCTCTCATTGTCTTTCACACCAGCATGACCTGAGATAAACGCTGCAAGTTGTATCGGATAGAGCCACAGTTTCCGTACATGCCCAGCCTTGATCTTCTGTAGCATGCTCATTGAATCACTGAAGAAGCGTGCTTGGTGGATTTCTGATTTTTCAGCCATTATAAGGACCTTGTCACAGTATGACCTGTATTGTCACCCAAGAGCGTGAAGAAGGTACACTGACTTCACTAATGGCGCAACGAGTATTTAATGATAGACACATATTTGTATAGAGCAAGCGCCTATCGAGGGAGCCGACCGCTCGCCTGTGGATCCGAAGCTAGTGGGTTCAAATCCGAACGGTGCTGAACAATTTCTTTCAAAAATGACCTTAGCTCCCAGGCTGACTATGCTTAAATAGGTCAAGGTAAAGGTGAAGTCGGGAGATGTGAAAGGTAAAGTCGGGAGACTGAACCAGCGTCCCTGCACATGGTTATAAATCGTAGGTGCTCCGCCATCAGTACGGACAGCTTATAAGAAACTGCCCGCCTGTGTCGCCGTCCGCACGCAACTCCGTAGCTACATCGACGTTCTTCTATTTACCCCAGAGTGTTAACTCTGGTACCCATTTCCTAGAGCTTGGGTGAACATCAGGAACCGTCCGGTTTCGAACGCCTGCCGTGGGCTGCAGCGAGTCGCCGATAGATTTGAAAGCGAATCTCCTATTGACTGCGCTAACGCGACAACGTAGGTTTAATTGGGTGCCAGGTAGAATTCCTGGGAAGTACAGGCGGCTGGCCTGGTGCTGACCGCATCACCCGCCAAGTGCCCAAAGGTCTATAAAATGTAGATTTAGCAATATATGCCTAATACGCCTAAACGCGTCGTGGGAAAAAGGTCCTTCACTTTACATAATCGCCACTCGGTGGGTAATGTCAACAAAACGCCGGCTATCTATTTACTTTCACGAACATTATGTCGCACTTATTTTACTTTGGGTCAACCTCTGAGCCAGGGTCAATGTATGCCGTTAAAAATTATGGTTTCTACCTTGAAGTCAGAGTGCATCTGCATACGAAGCAAGGAAACAACAGTGAGCATACAAAAAGCTAAATCAATAAAGCGGATGTGTACGCATGACTCAAGTCCAGTCTGAAGTCTAGAAGTGGACAAACAACCAAAACTTTCCACTGGAGTTTTCTTTTTTTCTCCTTTTTCTTCTTCTTTTCCTTCTTCTTCTTCTTCTTTTTCTTCTTCTTCTTCTTCTTCTTCTTCTTCTTCTTCTTCTTCTTCTTCTTCTTCTTCTTCTTCTTCTTCTTCTTCTTCTTCTGTTATTTGTACGCATACTCTTGCTTCTTCCCTCTCCGTCAGATGCACAGCCAAAGGTCAAAGCAATGTAGCCTATGTGTAGTTGCAGTAACGTAAAGGCCAGACTATCGTGTGCCCGCCGAAAGTCAAAGCAATGTAGCCTATGTGTATTTGCAGTAGCGTCGAGGCCAGACTATCGTGTGCCCGCCGAAAGTCAAAGCAATGCAGCCTATGTGTAGTTGCAGTAGGTAGAGGCCAGACTATCGTGTGCCCGCCGAAAGTCAAAACAATGTAGCCTATGTGTAGTTGCAGTAGGTAGAGGCCAGACTATCGTGTGCCCGCCTAAGGTCAAATCCACAACTAGTCAGTCTTCTTCTTTTAAGCTGACCTTGGCTTCTACGTCGACTTAGCTATAAATGTTCGCAAGGTAATGTTCTGTGATGTAAAGACGACATGCTAGATGTTGGTAACATCATAAACAGGGTGATGATTGCTCTTAATATATATATATTTTTTTTTTCTAAATTCCATGACATTACAGAAGATTCGAACTAATGATACCCGCATGAGAGCCCAGCGCCCTTAATCGCTCGGCCAGCCGCCGCTACTTTACTTTTGTTTACCTAATGTATTAGAAATTTTTTTAAAGGAAACACACAGCTATAGCTACTGGACGGAACATAATAAATTTGTCATCATTTTGACACTTAAAATCATATTTCAATGAGTCGAATTGATCAGACTGCAGTCAGAATAACTCAAGGTTCCCACCAATCAATTGACAGTTTTCTTGCAGGTATGTGGCCGATATTTTTAGGTGTACGGGTTTTCTTATCAACTAATAAAAACGTGCTATTGGATAACTATGCTGTTCTCTTTTTGAAACACACACACGCGCACAGAGAGAGAGAGAGAGAGAGAGAGAGAGAGAGAGAGAGAGAGAGAGAGAGAGAGAATACAGGCTCGTTTAACTCGGATGTCAACCGAAAGGCGCAAATATCGTAGCTGTAGTGTAAAAATGCACAATACAATTACGTCTCTCGCATGGCGGGAGTATGGGAAGAAGAAGAAGAAGAAGACAAATAGCAACTCTCACCTTCCTCTCCTGGCCTCGCTTTTGGAGGCCAGAACTGTGTCTCAAGCAGGCAAAGTTTGGGAATGTTGTCACAGAGGCTGTTATTTTCGCTCATGTTTAATCCAGCAGTAATCATCTCCTTTGAACTTTGACAGGGCGAAGACACCTTTGTTCGTAAAGAAAAGAAAAACTTACCACTTGAGGTTTCATATGATGGCGTATGTAGATTAAGGTGAGTTGCACTGGAATGAGGAACGATATTATTGAGCTTGGGACAAAAGCGCTCTGTCCTCCATCTTCATCAGCCAGCGTTTATTTCCCATATGATGGTAAATACAGCAGTCTGGCTATTCTTCTTATCGTTTCTCTAAGTCATAAGCATCTGTCAGATCCCCATGTCACCCCGCGACGCACCATTCGCTTCAGAAGTGATAGTCCAGTTCTTCTCTAAGTGTGAAAGCAAACCGACTTTAACACTCTTTGTAATGTTGAGTTGAGTTGAGCCAAGAATTGACATCACAGCACTCAAGGCATTCCCATGCGTTCTTCATCCTTATCTTCAGCAGCCATCGCAGAGTTTTAATACTGATTGTACCTGTCACAATCTGGTTATATGTCCGTCTTGCCTTTCCTCTAAGTGTTATCAGCTGGCTAAACCCTCGGGTTACACCCAGGTGTCTCATTCTCTCCAGTCCATAATAATCTTGTTTCTCTACTGATTCCATTGCTTGTTCCGAAAGTGCCTTGACCACATCTGCCTTGTCATGTATCATTGCAATGTATGGGGTATTAGGTGCTGCCAGCTGTCTCCACTCCTATTCGGTAACGTTTACCATCCTCAGAATCATCCTGTTGAAAGACTGACGCAAGAGAAAGCTCTTTACAGGGGCCAAAGAAACATTGTAATAAGACCCTTTTCCACACCTTTGGGTGTTTTGTGCAAATGGTTCTAGATCTATATCCTATAGAGTAATCGGCACTCAGTGGTTGATGTGGTCAACATCATCCCGGCCGCCTTTGCTTCCAAGGTACCCATGTAAGGCTGGGTCTAACTGGAAACCAAGGTCATTTTTTAGAAGAAAAAACAAGTCCAGATTTGAAACTAGGACTTTCAGGTACACCACCGCGGCTCCATAAAAAAATAATGTTAAAACACCATAAAATCTGTATCGTCAGTCGCCAAAAGGATCACAGTCACCACGAAAAAGGGCACCCAAGACCTTCTTGACTGAATGGGGCATCGACGATGGTCTGTCGGCTATCTAAAAAAAAACCTATAAACTTGTACTTGCTTAGAACTATCAACCCTAACTGAGTGATGTGATCAATATTAGCTCGGCCTCCTTTATTTCTCACAATATTGTGCAGTACTAATTAGACACACTAGCCTAAGTTGAATCCTCACAAGAGACAGTTTTTTTTTCCCCAGACCAAAATCGATGAAAGGTTTCCCCAGTCTCATAAAATCAGTCTTCAGTTCTTCAAGTCCCAACCAGTCACCAGTTTTTGTCACCACCAGTCGCCTGTTCTTCAAGTCACCACCAGTCGCCTGTTCTTCAAGTCACCACCTGTCTCCAGTTCTGTAAGTCACCATCAGTCGCCTGTTCGTCAAGTAACCACTAATCGCCTGCTCTTTAAGTCACCACCACTCTCTACTTTTCTAAGTCACCACCAGTCTCCGGTTCTTTAAGTCACTATCATCGCATGTTTTTTTTAAAGTCACCACTAGTTTCTTGTTTTAAAAGTCACTACCGGTTAGGTTTTTCAAGTCATCACCAAACTCTGGCTCTTAAAGTCCAATAATCGCCCGTTCTTCGAGACACCACTAGTCTTTGGTTCTGAAGTCACCACCAGTCGCCTGTTCTTCAAGTCACCACCAGTCTCCTGTTCTTCGAGTCGCCACCAGTGGCCTGTTCTTCGAGTCACCACCAGTCTCTTGTTCTCTAAGTCATCACCAGTCATGTTCTTCAAGTCACCACCAGTCGCATTTTCCAAGTCACCAACAGTCGCATTTGTCAAGTCACCACCAGTCTCCGGTTCTTAAGTAACTATCATCGCATGTTTTTTAAGTCACCGCCAGTCGCTTGTTCTAAAAGTCACTACCAGTCACGTTTTTCAAGTCATCACCAGACTCTGGTTCTTAAAGTCACAACAATCGCCTGTTCTTCGAGACACCACCAGTCTCTGGTTCTTCAAGTCACCACAAGTCAACAGTTCTCCAAGAAGCGGTCAATCTTTGGTTATTTAAGTCACCACGGATCCCAGTTCTCCAAGTCAATATAAGTCTCTGGGTCTTCAAATAATTCACCAGAATCCAGTTCTTCATGTCACCATTGGACACCAGTTCTTCAAGTCACCACGAGTCTCTGGGTCTTCATATCATCATCGGTATTCAGGTAACCACCAGTCTTCTGTTCTTTAAGTCATCACAATGTCCATTTCTTTAAATCACCATCAGTCTCAAGTTCTTCAAGTCACCGTCGTTCTAAAGTTTTTTCAAGTCACAACTGGTCTCCAATTCTTCAAATAAATGCCGATTTTCAGAATCTGATGTGACCACCAGTCCTCATTTCTTCAAACTCTAGTTCTCAATGGAACCAGTTTTTTCAAGTTCCTTATGTGATCACCAATCACCAGTTTTCATGTGATTATCAGTTTTTTGAAGAAATCACCAGTCTCCAATTCTTGGAACAATCGCCGATCACCAGTTCCTCATATGATAATCAGTCTCTAGTTATTCTTGTGAACACCAGTCTCCGGTTCTTTGTGTAATCAACAGTCTACATTTCTTCCTGTGATCACTACACTATGGTTCTTTAAGCAATCACCAATCTCTAGTTCTTGATTCGATCACCAATCACAAATTCTTCGTATAATCATCAGTGTCTAATTCTTCTTGTAAGCACCTGTCTCCTGTTCTGTGTGTAATCATCAGTTTCCAGTTCTTCATGTAATCACAACGCTATGGTTCTTGAAGCAATAACCAGTCTTCTGATCTAAACGCAGTCACCAGTCTCCAATTTTTCTAATGTTCACCAGTCTCTGTTTATTCCAGTAGATACTAGTATCCGTTTCTTTTTTAATTCCCAGTTTGCAGTCCTTTGTCTCCGATTCTTCAAGTGATCACCAAGCTGCATGTTCTTATCCAGACCATTAGTCTCATTTTTTTTAAAGTTTATACGACAGTGAACAACGTAATCGATGGTTTCAATTCCACATGAACAACCATTGAAAAAAAAAAAAAAACATGTCGAACTAAATAAACACATGACTTACTTGAGTGTCTGCATCGGAGTATAGGTAATGCATTTTTTTCAATTCCAAAATAACTAATGCAATCAAAAATAGTGTCAGGATGAATAATATTTTTGATAACCTGGACTTTCGTTGGATTCTCATCCCGGTAGTTTTCGTGTCTGCCTCTCAGCTTTCCTGGAAGCAACGTAAGGTCGATTTGTAATGCAAGGTCAGGCAGAAACACATGGGTGTATTTTATTTAAAAAATGTAAAACGGATGCAAGGCTGCATCCGTGGCTTAGACGTTACGAGTCTGACTCGTAATTCCAACATCGAAACCAACTGCTGGCTGCATGGATTTTTATCATGGAACGCCGCAGGTCGACCCAGCCTAAAATAAGTAGCAGGATGTATGTCCCGAGGAAGTAAAGACGCCAGGCGTAGTGCTGACCATATTACCCATCTAGTGCCGATTGGTCTGTAAAAATATTGCTGCTCTTCCCATATGCCCGATGAGCCTGAAGGCGCGAAAAGGGATCTTCAGTTCTTTAGGTCACCACTCTTGATGTCACCATCAGTCTCCAGTTCTTCGAGTCACCATCATCTCCACATGGTCAAGTAACCTCCAGTCTCCAGTTCTTCAAGTTTTCGCGTCAGAACTGATGGTACAAGCGTTTACAGACACGTTCTCATTCCTTCACCTTTCTTGAAGTGCAACTCGTCTGTAGGTCCGAATGTCTTTGGCCCGGGTTCTGAAGGAGCCGTAGTTGTTTTATATATATATATATATATATATATATATATATATATATATATATATATATATATATATATATATATATATATATATATATATATATATATATATATATTTTTAATGACTTCGGCTTTCAGTTCAACCCAGCCTTAAAGGTGTAATATGAAAATTCATGAGAAGTAAAGGCGGCCGGCCTGATATTGACCATATTACCCACCGAGTGCTGATTGGTAAATAAAATACAGATCTAGCCTTATATGTCCAGTACCCCCCGAGAAGTAGAAAATAATCTGTACTTTACTTTTTTGAAATGTACTTTACTTTTTTGAAATAAAGAGAAATGACACACATTACAACATACAAATAAGAGGTTCCTACAGCAACAAGACAATGCATATTTCCTATTTCTAGTCACTTATAGACGAGATGGATCCATCGTGACGTAGTAAGATGGATTATCTGTCTACACAGCGGCCCAGATTAAATCCCCAAAATAGACATGGCGATTGCCTGTCGTGTCAGTTGTCCAGAATAAATCTCCAAAATAGACATGACGATTGTCTGTCGAGACAGTCTGCCAGAATAAATCTCCAAAATAGGCATGACGATTATCTGTCGGGACAGTGGTCCAGATTAAATCCCCAAAATAGACATGACTTTTTATGGGTGGAGCTAGCCTCTTGAAATTTGTATTAGATTTTTTTGGGTTGTTGTTGTAGGGAGGGGTGCGGTTGGGAATGTTAAACGAAGAAAGAATATTTTCAAAGCGTTGCCAACTCAGGTAATCATAGTTGCAGCTTTATTGCAAACAGATCCACCTACAGTTGCTCCGCTCCTATGCGAGCGAAATAACGAAAAACAGAAATATGGTCCACTGGCCGTCTCTGTGAAGCCAATCATATACGTATCAGGCTGTCGTCGTCGATGGACACAAGGCACAATTAGCTCCGTGGCAACAGATCACTCGAGGTTGGTTATTTGTTCCCTAAACTTGCGGTACACAACACAAACCACGTTCGGCACAGTTGAAAAAAATTCTAAAAGAAATCCGCATATCACTGTGTCATACATACATACATACATACATACATACATACATACATACATACATACATACATACATACATACATACATACATACATACATACATACATACATACATACATACATA